CCCCCCCCCCCCCCCCCCCCAACCAAAATCTTAACCAAAAAAACAAAATGCATTTATTTATCTTAGTAAAGCTAAAAACCAAAAACAAAATAAAAAACGCAACAGCCGCAGATGGGCAACAGCATATCTGGGAACTGGAAGTCGTAAAACAAGATTGGAGAAAAAGAAGAAAAAGAGAAGAAAAGAATAGGCCAAAGGTCTTATGGTGGATCCCACTCGTCAAATCTGTGAACAGGGACGGCAGTTTCATATCTCAGCCGCTCCTATCCTTCTGCTGCATTCCTAATTAACCTTAATTTATTTGTACTACTATCATCCATTTTCTCTCTAATTTTCTGTTTCTCTTTTCTCTCTCTAGAAATTTGTGTCCGTAAAAATAATAAAAGAGGAAAGTTGAAAACTTTTTGTATTGGTATGGTCTCTTTGTGAATTCTCAAGCCAAACAGGCGCTCCACTTTCACCCCCTTACAATCTAAAAAACATGGAAGAAGAATTTAGGGTTTGACAACACCAAGTCCAACAAGGTCTGTTCTTTGCTGCTTTCCTTTTGTTTTTATGGTCGATTTCTCCTAAAATGGGATTTGCTTTAGCTGCTTTTCCTTCATCCTTACATGGGTTTTCCCCATTTTCAATGGGTTTAAAATAGACCCAGTTCAGTCTTTTCTTCTAGGCCTCTGTTTGCTTTGAGAAAATGAATTCTTTGAAATTTTGTTGAAAAGACTCTTTCTTTGGCATTTGGGATGTGCAAGATGGGATCTTAACATGGGTTTTTTCATTTTGCCTTGAAGATCTAAAATTAGAGTAAATTTTTTTGGTTTTCATGGTCTAGCCTTGTTTTGGTGATTTGGTTTTGGGAATCAGGTTTTTAAGCTCTTGGAGTTCATGGAGGAGGTTGAGGAAGCTAACAAGGCAGCTGTGCAGAGCTGTCATAGAGTTTTGACACTATTGGCCCAGCCCCAAGATAAGGTTCAGTATAGGAATTTGATGGTAGAAACTGGGGAGGCAGTTTCCAGGTTCAAAAGAGTGGTTTCTCTTCTAAATACTGGTTCAGGTCATGCTAGAGTGAGAAAGCTAAGGAGGTTACAAACTGCTGTCCCTCAAAGCATTCTCTTAGATAGTCCGCACCATTCAACAACATATTATTCTAAGAATCCGCAGCTTCTCCGACCTTCTTATCCTGAAACATCGGCTAAAGAATTGAGTTCACATGCTAAGAATTTTCTCCGTTTGGGGAATCCATCTTTGGAGTTGAGCTCAAATGGAAAAAATCCTCTTCAACTTGCTCAGCAAACGCCATTACCCCATCATCATTTCCTCCAGCAACAGCAGCAATACCTGCTACGACAGAAGTTGCAATTTCAGCAGCAGCAGCAGCAACTGAAACAACAACAACAACAACAACAACAACAACAACAAATTAGACATCAAGCTGAATCGATGTTTTGCAAGAGCAATAGCGGCATTAACCTGAATTTTGATAGCTCGAGCTGCACACCTACCATGTCATCTACTAGGTCATTCATTTCTTCACTGAGCGTAGATGGTAGTGTGGCTAACTTGGATGGAGGTGCCTTCCATTTGATTGGAGCACCTCGCTCCTCAGATCAGAGTTCACAACACAAGAAGAAGTGTTCTGGGAGGGGAGAAGACGGGAGTGTCAAATGTGGAAGTAGCAGTAGATGTCACTGCTCACGGAAAAGGTTTTTATTATCCTTTTTCGCTTTCTTTAATTGTGATCTTGATTTAATTGTTTGGACTGGATTATGTTCCTCCTTCCTGGAGAGGGGGCCTGGTTTGGTTTTACACAATTTTGATCAATTTGTTGTGCTTTGTCAACAGGAAACACAGGGTGAAGAGATTAATCAAGGTTCCTGCTATTAGTAACAAGCTTGCTGATATTCCTCCTGATGATTATTCGTGGAGGAAGTATGGACAGAAGCCAATCAAGGGTTCTCCTCACCCAAGGTAAATATGTCACTAAAATAGAGCTAGATTCTGCACATGTTTCCTCTTAATTTGTTGGTGCCCTGTAGTATTCTGCATATGTTGCTTTTAACTTCTATATGTTGATGTGCTTTATTGAGAATTTTAAATTCTAATAGACTAGAGATCTTGAAGAAATTCAGATTCTCTTTCATTGAGAAAGTATTGCAATCTTGTAATGGATAAATGAAGAACTAGGTTTTGCCTCCTAATTTGATTGCAGTCATAGAGATTGCTTATGCATAGAAGTGTCGTTAGTGGTTAAAAGGTATTTAGTCCCTGGATATTGGATAATAGAACAGTAGAGGATCTGAGGTGAATATTAACAACTATCCTCTATTGAAATAGAAATTTGGTACTTGCTCTTATTTTCACGAAATGGATGGTGCCTACCTTTTGGGTGGCATAGAAGAGGAAATGTACTGAAGTGAGGGCAATTACAAGAAGCTGAGAAGATGCTGGAGAGGAAACAATTTGTACCATCTTGAAACAAGCATCCCAGCTATTATTGGTTCAAGATTTTGATTCTGTTTTCCTCATTCTTTTCTAGGTGGCATAATAATAAACTTAGCTTTTTAATCATTATCTTTTTTCATTTAAGTTTCTGATTCTAAGTCGCCTTTCAATTATGCTTTTGGGCCCTAGTTGCACTTTTCAACTAAGGAATTTGTGAATTTCACATGAACTATTCTACTTTAAGGAACCTGTCTCAACTATTGGCTTAGAAAAGCTTCCTTTGAACTTGTGCAGGGGATACTATAAATGTAGCAGCATGAGAGGTTGTCCTGCAAGGAAGCATGTAGAGAGGTGCTTGGAAGATCCATCTATGCTTAGTGTAACCTATGAAGGTGAGCATAATCACCCTAAGATACCTTTACAGTCAGCAAATACATAGATCTCACTGGAAGCTCAGAAGACCACTTCAAGCCCTGTAGTGTTGTCATCATATTTGTGGTCGGCTTCAGTTGCTCCTGTACATATTTTTCATGTTTCAAGCATGGGATATAGATTGGAGCAGTTTTTTTTCCATTTTGGCTTTGGAGAGTTGGCTTTCCAAGCTCTTTTTAACGATTTGGCAGCAGGCATGAAGTCTGGCACTGAACCAAAGAAAAATGTAAAAATGGGGTGTCAAATTGTAAGAACTCTTCCATCTTTCATGGCAATTAATGTTTTTTAGAACAGTAGAACATTTGGCATTGAATGAAATGTGGCCAATGCTCTCCTTGTATTGTTTGCATTCAGTTTTTTTCATTTGTGAAGTCATAGGTAACGGATCCTGGATTACCCTGGAAAACTTCCCCATATGCTGTTGATTTTCAGGGTGTTTCAATCTGCTTACCTGACTATTTTTCCTTTTCGGTTTCTTGCGCTAATCTTGTCCTGCCCTTGCTTGTTTGAATAAATTCTACAGAGCTTAGTAACAAATACGTGTGGGAATATAACCAGATACAAGACGAGCAACATGCTTTTTGTCACATTCCAATTCCAAAATGAAGCCTAGAATTTTCCCTCATCCCACCTTGACCTGACTGAAATGAGATGCAAAAATGACATTGTTACAATGTCAGTCATGTGGCACTACAAATTTACAATCATAATATATTATTAAATGATTGATTTTTTTTCATTTAAGGGTTTTATATGTGACATTATATATATTTACTTATTTAATAACACATCATAATAAGTTTACAATTTTCGATAGTACTGTAAGTCTGTAACTATATCATTGCCTACCAAGGTGTCATGCAAATCTGCATTGCAGTAAAGAGTCTTGAGAGGATGTTTTTTTTTTGGGTAAATTATCATTTTCAAAGACGGAATTAAAGTCAGATGTTTAAATGATGTAAAGACTTAAACAACCTAAGAAACAGAAGTCATGTTTTCAAGTGGTTAATTATATTTGCGGCAGTCTTGGGGAATAGCATCAATAGTTAATGAAGCTTTGACCTGCTAACAGTTGTTAGTTGAAGATTTGCAGTCTCCCAATAAGAAGAATGGATCTGTTAATTACATTATTACACGAGGAATGCAAAAGATTTGGTTCTTGGCAAGTAGGCTTTCTCAGTCTTTTGGGATGCAAAAAGTTTCGTTTTAGGCCAGTAGGCTTTCTTTGTCTATCTGGATAACAAGATTGAAGTTTTCTCTAACTGCAATGTAGTTGTTCCGTCCTGTGTCAACCTCGAGCAAGCAATAGCTAAGAACATTAGTTTCGGTACCAAGAAGTTTCATTATGGAGTCTCCGAGGGACATCCCATAAATTAAGAGCTTGAATCTTCATATTAAAGGTTTCAACTTAGAATCCTTGAAAGAATTTTGGGAAAAGGAAGACCACCATACGGTAGAAAGTCCATTACCATTAATGTACTATAAGAAATTACCGAGTATAGTTTCGGAGGATAATTGCAGCCCATTAGTTATTTTGGGATTTAATAGATTGGGCCAAAAACTGCAGCCCATAGAAACGCCTGGTTAGGATCAGAACCAGCTCCTTATGCTTTTTAACCATAGATTATCACATTAATCATCATCAACATCCAATCCCAAGCAAATAAAACAACTCAGCTAAATATATGTCTAGACATCTGAACTCAAGTAAGCAACAAGCCTCCAAACATCTGATCAAAATTCATATCAGATAACAAAAGCATCCCATGAAATATGCTTAACCTTCACTTGAGGGGTATAAACCTGGACGAATGGGTAGCACCAATACCAGGCCTTCCATGCTTAACTGGTTTGTAGGAGATAGAGAATTCAGCAAGATAATGACCAATCATCTCAGGCTTGATCTCAACTTGATTAAAGGTCTTTCCATTGTAAACTCCAATAATACTGCCAATCATTTCTGGAACTATGATCATGTTGCGGAGATGAGTCCTAACTGGCTCGGGCTTCTCACCAGGTGGAGCCTCCCGTTTCTGTCCCACGACATCACAATAATAACAAAATTAGCGCAATATATTTCATTTAAGCAGTCATTAGAATAATAAAGAATCTAATTTACTAAAAAGTTCTACAACATCGGAGCCAACTAGTAAGCACCATATGTAAGATACCACTGATAAAAACACATCTACAACAATTACAGTTCATGGTCTTACAAGTAAAATACAAAACCAGCAGATGGCAATTAAAAACAAGAATCAGAACCTTCAATTCAAGATTGGCTTTCCCCATCATAACTTGAACAATGTCAACACATATATAAGTGCACAATAAAAGGCATAAAGGCTCTTTTGACCCATAAATTCACTATTTAATCCACTAATCCACCATCTACTAGACAAAAATCTTCTTTGATTCACCCAGAGTCCCTTATTCTGAACAACAAGGACCTCAGATACCATTCAGATCTGGTTAATCTACAGGTGCACGTATGACAGAACAAAAGGTCCGTCCAAAAGAGAACTTACAGTCATAATCAACTAAAACAAAGTGCCATTCTGGGTTTCGGGCATATTTTTACAAGACGAATGGCAGGACCGGGCAGAAAGACAAGCAACCAATGCATGCATCGTAAAGAAAACAAACCAAAACCCTCAGACAGTAGTTGCTACATATCATTCATTAAAGTAAGCCAGAACAACAAGACAAGTGCAATTCCACATAAAAAAACACAAATTACTCATCAAGGATAAATCTTAAAGTTACATAAGAAACTGTGGATAAGGCAAAGAACTGCAAAAAATCACTTACAGCCTTGCGGAGCTTCTTAATCAGAGCCATTGGCTTCCTCTTCAAACCTCTCTGGAACCTGAAACAACAGAATCAGCTTAACTACAAACATAAGAAAAATCAATGAAATCAGAGAGGCAAAGAGAATCATTAATACGAAGAACCTTCTCCGAGCGCGAGCATGGAAAAGCTTGACGAGCTCATCCGTAGACATGTCCAAAAGGGCATCCAAATCGACCCCTCTGAAACTGAACTTCTTGAACGTTCTCTTCTTCGGCTGCCCTGGTGCAGCAACATCTGCTTCAACGTCCGCCTAACACACATACAAAAAGGAAACACCAAAATTATGGAGCCACCGTTCGGATCTTGGAAATGGGGGAGATGAAGATGGGATTGAGATGGAGAGCAGCTCCTACCATTACTAGTGACTCTGTGAGGGCAAGGAGGAAGGAAGGTGAAGCCGCAGTAGTGGAGTCTGCTTCGTCTAGGGTTCTGGGGATTGGGGAGCTGAGAATTTATATGATGACTGAAAAGGTTACGGGTAACGATTTGGGTAAATGGATCCGGTTTGGTTTCTGAGAAATTGCTGTATACTCCTTCTGGTATCAGGTTTTTTCACCTCGCCATCTTTGGTTTAAAAGGTTGCAATTAACCCCTAATGCAATAATTTTTTCTAATGAAGGGTTTTTCCAAGCTTTACCATAAGAACACATATTAATCACACATTTTTATCATAAATATATATATATATATAAAATTGTAAGAACTGACATAAATTTTACTATTTGTGCCAAGTAGATTAATTTAATTAAAGAGTTGATAATTAAAACTCAACTTTTGCTCTTTTAATATAAATTTATGATGAAAATGTATTTTTATTATATTCTTAACTTATATCCTAAGGATATAGATTAAGAAACTCTTTAATTAATTTTTGAATTGCCTTCGCAAAATGAAAGGCAAATCTCCCTTATACTCGCATCCACTCCTTCCTTTCTCTTTCTTCTTCTTCTTCTTTTTCTTCTTCTTTTTTTTTTTTTTTGGGGGGGGGGGGGTTTTGGATGATCGGGATATTCTTCAAGTAAGTTTTCACACATCTTGAGATTTTAATTTTTTTAGGCAATCTAAGGTCTCACCCTCACATCTACTTTGTGCATTTAACAAAATTAATTTCTTTAGTTATTGATTCTAAAACTTAAATCCTAAATTTAATTTACAAAACAACATTTCCTTATTAACAAATTCAATTAACGAATTCAATGCTTGAGGTTACGAAGACAAAGGGTAGCCTAAGGGAGCACAAGCCCCCCTAAACTTTAGTAAAATAATTTAGTTTGGTCCTTTATGTTTTATTTTTATTTGTTTATCCTTAATTATTTCATATCATTTTAATCAATTTCTAGTATTTGAGTCATTGAAGATATCTTTTGGTGATAATGAGAAAGACAAGGAAAATAGAGCTAATATGAGAAATGAGAAAAATTAAAATTTAATTGAATAAAAATTATTCATTTTATCTTTTTATAAAGTGTTTGTTCATTAATATCTTTTTATTTCTTATTTCTTTCTTTATATATATTATATTCTTCCATTCAATATGTGTTTATTTTTATCTTTCAATTGATAGTGTTTATACTAAATTGTTAACTGTTATTATTTTATTGTTAAAGACTAACAAATATTATTTACTAAAATATTTTTTAGTTTTTAAATTGACAAACTCACTCATCATTTTTGGTCAAAATTTCATTTTAGCCCCTAAAATATTTTCTAGCTTCACCATTGTTTGAAATCACCTTGCCCTTATGCCATTAACTCAAAGCCAGACAATTTACTTCTACTTCTACCATAAGAAAATTACTATTGGGTCCACTTAGTTCTTTTTTAATGATAAAAAACTAATACAAAATTTGAGAATTTTTCTATATCAAGTACTCAAAGTAAAATATTATAAAATTTGGTTCAAGCATACTTCTTTTCTTAACTTAGGTGCCCAAAAATGCTAATTTTACATTTCTATTACTCCCACCCCCATCTAAAATTTTTAAAAAAGCCACTTTCTTTACAAATATAGGAGAGCTGGAACCCTAGTCAGCGCTCCCCTCCTCCTTCTTGTTCTCATCTTTTCTTCTCTCTCTCTCTCTCTCTTTGTTATTCTTTGTTTCTTTCTTCTTTTTCTATGCGTTTTTTTTTTTTTTTTTTGTGGTTTTTTTGCAAAGGTTTTTGCCTCCTCTTAAGGTTGGCTTATGTGGGAGTTCATCCTTTCAGTATAGTCTATGTGGGTTTTACTGTTATTTTATATCCTTTTCGTTGAAAGTTTAGAGTAGGATTGGTGGCTGGCAAGCATTGTATTGCCTTTAAATATGCTTTTAGTAGCGGATTATCTTAACAATTACATTTTAATCCTTTGGTCCCTGGTGGGTATGTTGACTTATGGACTCGCTATTACGGGCATGTTTGGTTTAGATTGTGAGAGTTTTTGTTTTTTGAGTATTGTTATGAGTGATAAGTTTAAATTTTTATTGGAGAGAAAATTTAAAAATTACTTTTAAAGATAAGAAAAAATAAGTAAAATATGAGTAAAAAGAGAATTTATGAAAATTTTGGATTTGAAGTTTTTGAGCTTTTACCATTTGAGATCTTTTTAAAATTAAAAAAAAAATTAAAAATATAAGTTTTTAAGAAAGAAATTTAAACTTATAAAACATGAATAATATCAAAAAACTGAAGCTGTTAGAAGCTCAACCCCTAGAAACTCAGCCCCTAAAAACTCAGCCAAACATGCTCTACATTAAAAATTGAGTTTGGCTATAATATCTATGTAATCAGAAGATTGTTCAATTAGTGTTTTACACTTTTAGGGTGAGGTTTTGTAGTACCTCTAGTGTGCTACATTGTGTGAATTTGCTTCTAACCCTTGTGATTTTCTATTATTGATAATCGAATTTATTTTTATTAAAAAAAAAAAAACTCCTAGCCCAAAAGAATGATGGTGGCCACAGGCTAACTGCACATCCCGGTACCAACAAAAGAGCCTTTTAGTACAACACAATGCTCAAGAACATGTGATCCGAACCAGCCACAAAACCCGCACCAAAATCAGTCTAGCATAGCCCGCTCACCACCTTCATCACAAGAAACCATCAGAGCTTTGCATACAACCACTCCTTTAGCATCCGCAACCACCAAATGAGAAAAGTTTGGCCACCATAGCCTTTACAAACTCATCCATGTCAGTACTCGCTTCTAATGCCATTAGCACTCCCTTCTAATGCCTTAGTAGCCTTCAATGCCTCAACTACTCCCTTTAACCAAACGCTATATAGACACTGCACAAGACTCCAACAAAAGGAATTACAGCCTCAAACTCAACAATGTCAGCATTAATAGTATGTTTGGTTTGAGGAGAGAGGAGGAAAAGGGAAAAAAAGGACTCAAAAAAGGGAGAGAGGAGAAAAAACTCAAACCAAACATATTGTAAGACCGTCAAAAAAGGAGAGAGAAAAAAAAACTAGATGCACTAATTAAGGAAAAGAAGAATTAAATTAAATAGGACAAATATTCAGTAAAAAAACAACTATAATATTTTAAAAATATTATGTTTTACAGTTCAAACTATAAACAACTATTATGTTGTAAAAATATTAATGTATCAAACTATAATTAAGAATTTATAAATCGAGAATAACCCCAATATTAAGAGGTCCACTCTCAGTTCAAATTACATAATACTTTTTTTCTGTTATTTTAAAATGGAAAAAATGTTTCATTTTGACTAGTTGAAAATGAGTAAAGGGAAAAAAAGGAAATAATTCAATAATTTTTTTACCATGTTTGACAAATTTTGCTAAATCAAGTCCTTTAACCTTCATACACATTCCAAATAGGTCTTGTTAGTTTTCTCCATGTTCATTAATTTCGTCCTTGTGATAGAAGTCATCAAACTTTTTATTCTTAGGGTGGGTTTGAGATTGCAATTGGAAGCTTTTTCTTTAGCCATACAGTATTTTTAGGTATACGTGTGTTTGATAATTTTTTTTAAACCATTTTTTTCAAAAGTTGTAGAGAATTACTGTAGATTAATAACAATTTTATATATAAAATCAGAAATATCATTTTTTAGCTTTTTGACAGTGACTTTTACAAACAATACCAAATATTTAATATAATTACAAAATTAACTATTAAAATCCAAACTTGTTTAATTCAATTACATCACAATTTATAATATTTTCTTTAAATTTAATTTCTCGTTTATTTGAAGATTTTATAAAAAATTAAAAAACCATTCCTTCTTTATGAGTTACTCAAGAAATCCACACAAAAAAAAAAAAAAAACCTAAAAACCCTAAATTATTAAGAAATAGTAAATGTTATCTATTTTAGTAATTATATATCATACAATGTTTTTTAAATTTGAATTAATA